GTGAATTTTCTTCAGATTTATAGTAAATGCATTTATCACATTCATTCGTTTTATAGCCATTCTCAATCATGCATGAATCAAATTTCTCATGCCACTATTTAGGGGGTTGTTTTAAGCCATATAGGGATTTAACTAGCTTGCACACTTTGCTTTCTTGACTGGGTTCTACAAACCCTCAGGTTGATCCATATAGATTTCTTCACCCAGGTCTCCATTAAAAAAAGCTGTTTTAACATCCATTTGATGAATTTTTAGATCATGAATTGCAGCCACTGCAATTAATAATCTAATGGATGTAACTCTAGTAACTGGAAAAAAATGTATCAAAAAAGTCAAGATCTGCTTATTGTTTAAAACCTTTTGCAACAAGCCTTGCTTTATATTTATCAATAGTTCCATCCGTTTTAAGTTTTTTTCTCAAAACCCATTTACAGTCAATAGTTTTACAACCTGGTGGTAAATCTACTAATACCCAAGTTTTATTGGATAATAATGATTTCATCTCATCATTTACACCTCGTTCCAAAAAACAGAGTCAGGAGATGCCAAAGCTTCTTGTAAAGTTAATGGAGTTTTCTCCACATTAAAAACATGATAATCAGGGCCAAAATCTTTTTCTAATCTGACTCTTTTATTCCTTCTTGGTTCAAAAACTACAGTATCTTGGTTTTGTAAAAGAGAAGTAGAGAAACCGATTTCAGATAAAATATTTTCTTGATAATTTTGACCCCCATCATTTTTAGATTTAAAAAGAAATTTTTCTTCATGAAAAATTGCATCACCTGATTCAAAAATTATTTTGTTTTCAATATCAAAAAATCTATAGGTTGTACTATTTGTTGCATATCCAAGAAAAGCACAAGTGGCAGCTTTCACACCTAATTTAGGTCTTTTAGGGTCCACCAGTCTAACAAAAGCTAGACAACCCCAAACCCTCAAATATCTCAAATTTGGCTTATGCCATTTCCACAACTCAAAAGGTGTAACTTTTGTTTTTTTATATGGCACTCTATTGATAACATAACATGCAGTTAAAATTGCTTCTCCCCATAAATTTGAAGAAGCACTTGCTTCAATTAGCATAGCATTTGTTAAATCAGTTAAAGTTCTATTTTTCCTTTCTGCTACACCATTGGATGTAGGTGAATATGGTGGAGTAGTTTCATGGATTATTCCCAAAGACTGAGCAAACGAGTTGAATCCAAAAGATTCATACTCCTGGCCTCTTTCACTCCTATACCTTTTAATCTTTTTACCGAATTGATTTTCAACTTCAAGAACGAATTCTTTAAATTTTTCAAAAGTATCACTTTTATTTTTCAACAAGTATACATAAGTGTATTTTGAAAAATCATCAATAAAAGTGATAAAATATCTATTTTCACCATGTGTTAAAATTCCTTCAAATTCATATAAATCAGTGTGAATTAATTCTAACAATTCAGTATTTCTCACCACACTTTTATAAAGCCTTTTAGTTATTTTTGCTTGACTGCAAATTTCACATTTCTCAAACTTATTTGTTAGTCTGGGAATTAATCCTAAACTACTCATGACTCCCACATATCGGCTATTAATATGACCTAGACAAGCATGCCAAAAATTCATAAAAGACAACATGTAAACAGAAACATGTGCTTTCTTATTCTCAACATTTAATTTAAACATTCCATCACAGATATACCATTTTCCCACAAATATGCCTTTTTTAGTGATTACATATTGGTCAGATTCAATAGTTTGTTTGAAACCAGCTTTGTTGAGCAAATAACTTGACATCAAATTTTTTCTCATGGACGGTGTGTACAACACATCTTTTAAAACAAGCACACGTCCAGAGGTAAAATTCAGCTCAACATCTCCACACCCGAGCACCTTGGTTAAATTGGAATCACTAAGCATAACAGTCCTCTCCTCACTAAAAGAAGTGAAATCTTTGAACCAATCTTTATCATAGCAGACATGCCTATTGGCACCAGAGTCTACCCAATACCCTTCTACAGATTGAACCAAAAAAATATCTGTGATCATAGCCACAAATGGTTCCTCGGTAACATTAGCCTGTGGTCGAGACTATTGTTTCCGAAATTTGCAAGTTCGAGCAATATGTCCACTTTTGCCACACACAAAACATGTCACATTTGTCAGATCTTGTGAAGGGGATTCTTGGTTCCATTTCTTTTGCCTCGAGTAATTTTTATTTTGTGGCGTTCTAGTATTTTTCCAAATTTTCTTAACTGGCTTCAAATGACTATTTTTATGAAATCGACCTTTAGGTAACGTATTTTCAGAAGTTAAATTTACCTTTGCAGTGGAATGCTCTTGTGTCATAAGCGCATCTTGTCCTTGTGCTTCTTCCTCCACTCGAATCCATGTGATTAGTCTCTAAGGATGTCTCTTTTTGCTTGTGACGCATTGACTTCTGGAACTCCCTCCAAGATGATGGAAGTTTGTCAACAATACCTACTACAACAAGATTGTCTCCAATTTTGATGTCTTCAGATCTAATTTCAGCTACTAATATCTGAAAATCTTGAACTTGCTCTACCACTGATTTTCCATCTATCATCTGATAGCGGAAAAAACGGCTTGCAACATATTTTTTAGCGCCTGCCTCTTCAATGTCATATTTGTTCTGCAAGGCTTTCCAAATTTTCTTGGCAGTGGTGTAAGTAGTATCATAATAATCATAAAATTGATCTGAAAGACAATTCAGAAGATAGTATCGACATTTATACTCATCTGTGTTGTATTTTTTGAGTTTTTCAAGATGAGCAGCATACTCCTCATCAGTCATCTCTTCAGTGGGGACTTTGTTCGGATTTTTCTCGGTCAGGATATAAGCCACCTTGAGGAGACTGAGGTAGAAAAGCACCTTGCCTTTCCATCTCTTGAAATAAGCTCCCTTGAATCATAAGGGCTTGTTGAGATCGCCGATATTCTCGTTGGACTTCTCCAGTACTGGTTCCATGAACTTTTGCTATTTGAATCTCCTTAAAATTGTTGGTGATACTTACAAATAAAACACTAGAAAATACAATAATTATTGAAAGGGCTGAGGCGCGGGAAATTCTTTCTCTTTAAGGAGATTCAAGCCCTCTGCGGTTAGGCAAAGCCTCACACCGGTGCAGCAGAAAAACCTTGACTTGTCCCCCCTAGGATACAACAGCCCGACTAAGTCGTATGATTCACCAATACTGCACAATTGGTTAAACCCAAAGCTTTATCACACACACCCTTTTTATTTGCCTGATAATCTCACACTAGACATAACAAAGCAACAAAAACTCCTTCTCTCTAAGATATGACATAAGTTCAATATATATAGAAATGAAAGCTTCTTAGGCAAGGTTCTTGATGGATAAGAATTGGTAGACTTGACCAAGACTTTGGATGGCTTACCTTGGAAGTCTTGGAATGGATAGGAATGGAAAGACTTGGAGAAGACTAGGAAGACATATTTAGGAAGTCTTGCAAACTAGAATGGGAAGCAAACTAGGTAGAAAAGAAAAGAAAAACAACCTATGACACATTATAATATTAAAATATCTGCTAACATAATGTGATAATATAATTAATAAAATAAATAAATAAAATATTAATTATTTATATCAAATAATTAAAAATATAAAAAATAATAATTAGTGAAAGAATATAATCACGTAATATTTTAAGAAGACCTAATAATTTTTTTTTACGCTGTATTTAGTTGAATGATTTAAGAAAAGATTTTAAAACAATATATATATACATAAAATTAAGTAAAATATAAATATATTTTATTTATATATTATATATATTTTTTATTTTCCTTTCCAAATCTCTTTTTAAATTTTCTAATAAAACCTAACATTACGAAAGGGGCTTTGGTGGAAGGTTATGGGTGTGCTGGCAAGATTTTCAGCCTTATCCTTTGAAAAAAATTGCTGCAAGAAGATCCTTTTGATTTTTAATTTTAATGGATAAAGTTGGATTTTCCATTTATTTTTTGAGAAATTTACCAATAAATCCTAAAATTTGCTCTTATGATCCAATTAATCCCATTTTTTTTCTAACAAACCATGTAGTCCTGGGGTTTTTTGAAAGACGTTGATGCCCTCATTTACATGTTAGTAGATCAATTACAGCTGGGTTAGTGGGCTTTGGGTTAGGTGCGTGTGTCACACACAGGTAAATAAGAAAGGGATGTGTGGTGTGTGTGGCACGTGATACATGGAGGGGGTGTCACAAAAGGTCTGAGAAAGAAATCATTGTTTACCACTATACGTGATCCCAGCCATCACTCTCCAACTCACGCAATTTCTTTTGTTGCTTATCCCCATATACACAACCAACCAATGTATCACACAGCTGACACAAAAAACACCATATTCAAATTCACAAAACCCTAATTGTCAATGATTGAAATGTATTTGAATGTATCATTCAAATTAGCCAAACCAAAACTGCAATGTTTCTAAACAAGAAATGGTCCTGCAAAACACTTCCCAATTACCACAAGGGCACAAACGTCTACATAGTGAAACCAAAAATGGAAAATAAAATCAAAAAGGAACAAATCTTTCTACCAGCAGGACTAAACCAAACAAAAGAATAAAAGTGTGACTAAGGCCTCGTTTGGGAAGGCTCTGTTTTAGTCAAAAAGTAAAAAAATTACTAAATTAGCCAAAAAGTTAATAACACATACCAAAAAGTCAAAGGTTCTCTTTTCTCTCTACTTTTTTGCATATCTTTTCGTAATTAGCCAAAAAGTCATCCCAAACATACTAATTTTTTTTAACTCATATTTTAGCCAAATAGCTAAAAAATTATTAAATTAGCCTGTTCCCAAACGAGGCCTAATTGGTATAACAATTTGTAAAGTGGAATTTATTTTTTAAAAAAAAATTCCACATAATCACAAATCTCTCACCACCACAAGGTGCACCAAACTCCCTATACCATCCACCTACCCTCTCCGCGTTCCCATTCCTCTTCCCTTGTATATAAATGAAATAGTCAATTGAAACACGCACCACCACCAACTCCCAAATAGCTCACTTCTAGAGAGAGAAAGTAACAGAAACACAGAGAGAGAGAGAGAGAGAGAGAGAGAGAGAGAGAGCTCTGCTCTTGGTTCTGCTCACCGTTTGGCGCCGTCTCAGCTGCGTCGTTTGATTTTGTGGTAAGCACGTGAGAGTCCTTTGCGTGGATTTCTATTTATGTGAATCTTCCTAATTCTGTGAAGATTCATTTGATCAGACTTTTGTTTACCTGAAAAGATCATTTGCATTATACACACTTATGTAAATGTATGTATTTCCGATTCATGTATGTAGTTGTATTCGAAATGTGATTTATTCTGCTATTTTTTTCATGGATTGAAGATTTGAATCTATGGGGAAAGCCTTATGGTTTGATTTTTTTTGGATTTTCGTCTACTTTGCTTTGTTTGGCAGCTGAGAAAAGGTAGGAAATTGATCAAATGTTTGGTAATTCTTCATAAACATTTATGAATCTTAGATTCGAACACAAAATATAAATTTAATGACAACTTATAGTGTACGAACATCCTGACAATTGTTAACAGTGATAAGACTACAAATAAATATATAATTTGATATATATACATGAAAATAATTTTAAAAAATTCATTTTTTTCGTTACAAATACGTTGATATTTTATTATTTCAATATCAATATCAAAATAGGAAAAAAAAAATCATTTTTTATATTCTATATTGGAAAAGTAGTGCGTACAAAATCTCGTGATATATAATTTAAATAGCTCTGGTCACAATAAAATTAGAAGTTTTATGCTTGAGAGTTCCTGAAATTCAATTATAAGGGCTGGGTTTCTCTCCAGTTGACTGGACAGTCCAGTCCATTGGAGTGAAGCCAAATTCAATTGAAAACGCTAGAGGAGGGATTAATAGATATAAATTTACATTAGTTTGATTTTAATCATTGTAAGTTATCTTTCAAACTTATAATGTGTTTCATTTATTTACGAGCGAGGGACACGTGTGTGTCACCTGTTCGAAGGGTATCTAGTTCTAAAATATTAGAACACATTTGGATGCATGTTCGATATGGATACATGGACACGACACACCTTAATGTTTGTATTTCTTAGGATTTGACTATAGTTTGCTTCTATGTTTTGGCAGATTGAACATCGACTCTAAACACTGAAATTTATGAGAGACTTTTTGTGGGTTTTTTTTTTTTAATTTTTTTTTTTAATTTTTTATTTTTTTTTTTCAATTTTGTGATCTGCTTGTTTGTTGAAAGAAGGTGGGAATTGAAAATAAACTGATTTTTCTGTAGTAAATTAACTTTTTCTGGTACAGTTTTGTTTTCATTTAAAAAAAGAAGAAAGAAAAATCTGGGAGCTTCTCCAGTAAAAAAAAGGTTAGTCGAGTCTAACATAATAAAGGGATTAAATTGTCTGAATTGTTTTTCTTTTGGAAATCAACACAGTAAGCAGCAAAACCTACGTTTTTCCCCTTAATCTTTTGACAATCAAACTGATTTCAATGCAATTATGCAATTTATGGTTTTAGCAGAGGAGTTTGATGAAATTTAAGCTTTAAGTTCTACATTTGCAGGGAAGGTTGACCAAATTTCCGCCACACTCAAGTTCTTTCCAGTTTTAAGGTAGTGGAGCAATGGAGGTTAAACTTGCACAGAGCTTGCAATTCTCAACATGGATTGATTTGGAGAAGATGGTGATGAAACCAAGTGGTTCGTTGCAGTTTTCTCGAAGATCTAGGGAGCAAAAGAGGTTTCAGATTCTTATTTCTAGTCATTTGCAACCTACAAGAACTGCCACTGCCACTGCCACTGCCACTGCAACTTCACATAAACCTGTAGCATTGAAGGTCTCATGTTCGTATAAGAACTTACAAGGTAATTACAAATTTGTAATACAATCATTCTGTAAAGGATGAGGGCATGCCTTTCATACTGTTTGATAATATTATAGAATCTTATAATTTTACGGTTGTGGAACCCATAGAACCTGGGAAGGTAATTATCAATTAACTTTTGGGGACTTCGTACCACCTAATTCTGTCCAGGGAAGTTAATTATCACTTATTACCATTACTATGAGAATGAGTCATTTATGAGCAAGGGAAACTCCAAAATATACATTGTGATACGGGTATAATTTTTGAAACTTATTTTTACTTTCTCTTGTAGTTAAACGTATTGAACCTCTAAAAAATGCCTTTGCAGCTAAATAAAGTATGTTACCCAGTGTTGGTCTTCATCTCTCCTCTAATCAATGGGATATTTGTGGAAAGTGATTGTTATGTTCTCAAGCTTGGTAGCTTGAGCTTTTATCATCGCACCATGCAGTGCCCCCAAAAATAAAAATAAAACCAATTTTAGAATTTTAGTTTACTAAAAGTTTACTTAGTAATGGTATAGGTAAAATGTCAAGCGCAAAGAGATCATGACCTGCACCGTAGGTTTTCTTGCGATGGAGATCAATGGCAAGTGACAGCCTTGCAACAAGAGAACAAGGGAACTCGCATCTCAAGTAGTTTCTATATTACAATAATGTACTCATTCATTTACCTCCTTTTTTTCATTTTTCTTCTTCTTCTTCTCTCTTACAAACCAATGAATGATTTTGTTTACCCAACTAGGAGAGTGTTGCCACTTACCTTCCATCTCATGAGAAACCTTTAGGCCAAATGCCATCAGATTTAGATTCTTGCCTAGAATTTCTTGAACACAGCTAACCTTCGCAACTATGGATTTATTTTTTATTTTTGCTATGAAATTATAATGAACTTTGGTGGTTTTATGTTTTCTCATGAAAATCATTGAAGGAAGTGTGGTGTGATGTTATTGAGTAAGGGATGTTATTTTCTTGTTCTCATTGGAGTGCTGAAGTTAGGGGTTGAATTTCCTCTATTTTTCACACACCCAACAAACCAAATTACCAAATAATCAACTCTGCTGTAGTGATTTAAGTAATAATCTCCTATGTTCTAAGAGTTTAATCTGAGTTGCACTTTTGTAGGTTCAGTATTGCAATCTGGAAGTTTTCCTGCGTCTTTCGATGAAGCTTTAATTTTAAAGGTATGAGATGATGTTCTTCTGGTCTCTTGTATGTTTAATTCATGACAAGCTATGATTTTGAGGGTGCACAACCTGTTTCTAATGCTTAGACATTGTGGCATTATGCGTCTGTTAAATTGTTCAGCATGACATAGCCATGAAATTGTGAAGGGCATTTAGCTGATTAGTTCATCTTAGTTAGTTTCAGCATTCATCTTATTGGAAGTTATTAAAATTGCAGAATAAGTCGGAAGAGATTGAACCATATTTAAATGGACGGTGTATATATCTTGTTGGTCAGTTCCTTATCGAGATCCTCTGAAATTAGTTGATCAAATACTTGAATTGATTTTTATTTAACTATATGATGTGCAAAATGCAGGGATGATGGGCTCTGGGAAAACAACTATTGGCAGAATTTTGTCAGATGTACTTGGTTATTCATTTTTTGACTGGTTTGTAATGATATTTTGCTTGTTAATTGAATTGTCTTTGCAAAATAATAGTAGCGTTAAGAAGACATCATTCGAGTCATATGGAGGACTATGAAATGCGCCATTTCATAAGACAATCCTCCATATGAGTCAAATGATCTCTTCCTCAAAGAAACCCTGGACTCACTTCTTGCACATTCAAGATTTACCATCCCAAGAAGCTTCCTTGACACGTACTTCCTGCTAAATAATCATTGGAGTGTATCATGTTTGTGGATGTCAGTGATGCAATGATAGAGCAGACAGTTGGGGGAACTTCTGTGGCTGAAATCTTTAAGCTATATGGTGAGAGCTTCTTCAGAGATAATGAGGTTAGTGAGTTTTGATACGTCTGCTGCAGTTTCTTCACAATTGGAGCAATATGTTGGCATCGATTTCTCCATTTTTCTTTATTTTTTCCTGAATCTTAGGGTTTCATTTTTAGCTGTTTCCTTTCATAGAGCCCTTCTAAACCATATGAAATGGAAGCAAGTACATTTGTTTCCCATTATATTCGAGTTATTTTTTAATTTCATCTCTTTCTTTTTTTAAATAGCATGTCATTGTCAATTGTTTTATATTTTTTCTCTGCTTTTTGGTCTTTTTATTAACTTCAAACCCTTGGTTTTATGCTACTATTTTTATGGTGCTTTTGGTAATAGGTCTTCTACATGATAAATTTCCGTGAGGAAGCTACTTTAATTGGATATGACAAGGTGTTGTGCTTTAAAATGGGTGGGCTAGACATGGCCACTACCCAATGTCTAGGGGTATAACAAAATTTTGCTTTTGTCTAATATCTTTATGAAAGATATACAAGTTAATGGTGTTTGTATTGAAAATCATTAGATCTTGTCATTCATCACCAGTCGATCAAGTTTTTGGCCTGGGGCCCCTGAAATGCATTAAGTGTTACTGATGAAGACAAATTTTAATTATGGATAACTGTGTAAACCAGTATGCCTAACAAGGGCAGGCGAGAGACTGAGACCACAAGTTTTAGGGCCATGTAGAATTCCTACATCTATGTGTATTGGTTGTCACATTTTTTTTTTTAATCTGAAGAATCTATTCACCTTTGTCCTCTCCAGCATTTCTTTAAAAAACTGGTATTAATGAATGACCAACATGTTGTCATAATTGGCGCAGCAGTAAGTGCTTTGATTTGCTTATTTGTAACTTTTATCACAAAATTCTAGCAGTCCAAAAATATGTGGAAAGGTGGAGAAAGAGAGGATGACTCATTTTGAAAATATGGAATTACGTTTTTTTTTCCCTTGACAGCTTACTCGCTTTAAATAAAACGAGGGTGAAACATTAAATTAACATAAATCCACCTCTTTCCTTTCTCTTCTCATTTTCTCTTACCAAATAACTTTAAGGAAAGCTGTAATCCCACCTCTTTTCCTCCCTCTCTTCACTTCGCACATCTTTCCTTTGTACCAAACATGCTCTTTCATAATGAATTGATACTCTTTTTTTAGAAACAATCTAAAGATTGACAATACCTACCCCTCCAAATAAATAAATAAATAAAATAAACACCCTTTTGATTGTGAAGATTTAGCCACTTTTGGGGGATTAGGACACTTGGCTGGTGTCTTACAATCATGTCCTCTTATGTGGGTAAATTTATATACTTGGTTATCATGTGCGCATTGAGATTTACTTTGTAACTTTAAGAAACAAATATTTCCCTGAGATCTGCTACATATTACCAGACATGCTTCAGCAGATTTGTCTTTCTCTCAGCTCTAGAATTAATAGTTGGAGAATTTAAAGTCTAAAAGCAAATTCTACTAATTCCATTACCACTGATCTTCAGATAGTATAAGCAAATATGTTGATTATTTCTGGTAGATATGCGTGCAATATCCCTCAGCTCTAGTCTCTAAGATTAGTTAGTGCTTGGACAATTTGAAGATTAGAAGCAAATCCTACCAATTCTGCTTCCACTAGTTTTCAATGATGCAATTGTATTCTTGTGGTTTACTATTTATTTATGCTCTCTTTCAATTATTGGAGCCGAAAGGTCATTAATTAACTTCTGCCCTACAGACGGAGGTATTGCGGAAATTGACTATGATGCAGCGGCTAGTTGTTTCCACAGGTGGAGGTGCAGTTATTCGGCCCATCAACTGGTACAAAACTGGACATAGTAATAAAATCCTTGATAATTGGATTCTCAGTTTGCTGCTTAGTTGCTTAGGTGGTGTTATTTGTTTTATTTTTATTTTCAGGAAACACATGCAAAAGGGGATTAGTGTCTGGTTAGATGTACCATTAGAAGCCTTGGCAAGGAGAATCGCAGCTGTAGGAACGGGTTCTCGCCCCCTTTTGCATCAAGAAGCAGGTGATGCTTATTCAAAGGTAGGTCATTTCATCCATCATATTCCATGAAGCACGGATTCTTCTAAAAGAGAGTCTAATACCGATACTCCTCGGATACTTATGAATATGAATTTGATACTTCCTAAATGTAACCGATACTTTATGTTAATTTTAAGAAGTATCGGATACTTTTGGATCACTTTAGGTCATGTATCCAAACTATTATGAATTTGAATTTGTAATGATTATTGCATATTATTTCAGTATGTGTTAAAATAATAAATTTTCAATGTTTTTTTATTTTTTATTTTTATTTTTTTAAAAATCTTATTAAAGAAGAAAATAGTGAAATTAAAGTATTACTTTGCTCTTTCAAAATTTATCAAATTATCATATCCACAAGAGAAAAAAAAGTGAATTGACTATTGGCAGTTAAATTAATATTTAATTCCTAAAGAATGGTTTCTCACTATTCTTTGAGCTCATGTATAATATAATACTAAAAATTATAATTTTTTCTTTTCAATGTATCCTAGCTGTAGCTCTGCCCGTATCCCATTTCTTTAGATTTTATCGTATTGTTGTGTTCATATCCGTATCCATGCTTCCTAGATCATATTAGATATACCAAGATGACATTTTCAACTTTCCTATTTAGAAGAGATACTATGAATGTCAATATTTAATTTTAGCTGCTGCTGGTTTCTCTTGACAATCTCTTGCACTTTGACCTGTAGGCATTCATGCGTTTATCTACACTTCTGGAAGAGAGGAGTGAAGCTTATGCAAATGCCAATGCTAGGGTTTCCTTGGAAAGTATGATTTGCTCAAACTCGTGTATCATTTTTATTTTTGGCTGTGTTCTTGTTTTGATTAACGCCTAATTGTTTTTGGAAGCTTCATGGCCCGGGCTGAAAGATTTTATATTTGAATTTTTAGTAATTTGAATGATAATGCACACCCTTGCTATTTTTTGGTTGTTTTTAGTAATTTCTATCCGTGCTACCTCATATTGATTTTGCACTTGTGCTAATTTCTGATTGGAGTAAATATTTAAATCATGCAGATATTGCTTCCAAGCTAGGTTGTATAGATGTTTGCAATCTCACACCAACAGTTATTGTGATTGAGGTTCTCTCTCTCTCTCTCTCTCTAAATGCATTTCTGGAAACACCCTCTAGAATGACTGTTCTTCCAGCTAACTGGATTTCACATTTTGCAGGCACTAGAACAAATTGACAGCTTTCTGAAGAAATAGGGCTATTCCGGGGACCTAGGTCACCGGGCTTTCTTGATCTCTTCAATGCCTAGACTGGAAATTTATGTTTTGTTTCAACCCATTGGGCTTTTGTTTCAACAAGTTGGGCTTTACAACCCCACCTGTGCCGGAACGAAAAAATTTATTGAAAAAAAAAAAAAAAATTATTTTAGGCAAGAGCAATTTTTCTATTTTGTAAAGAGGCGTGGCATGTATTTTGTGAGATAATATTTGTAAAGTTTCTATTAATGAGATGCAGTAATTTTAAAATATATGGCTGATAAATTTCTACTTGCCAATCCTATTGTCACTTGAAACATTGATAATATTTTGTGTGTGTGTGTGTGTGTTTCAGGAAAATGTTTTCATGTTTTTTAATGGCAAAAGCTGGTAATTTGCCTTCCAATTATGGAAATGGCTTCCTTCCGGACCATTATTCTTCATACCATATTATATTTTATTTCGTGAGCTCCATCCAGAGCTTATAATGATTATTTGAATCGTTCATTTTGTAAGTTTAATGTGTAAAAAAATAATTTCATTAGACATTATTAGACATGAACAAATTATATATTGTTTTTTAAAACGGACGGCAATTGTGAATTTAAATTTAAATTTAAATTGTCTATTTTATAAAATAAAATATGATTAGTTTATTTATTCATCAATAGTTGATAAAACTAATTTTGTGCATAGATAGTCTTTATTGCAAGGTTTATGAGAGGAACGGTTTGAATCTATCATTGTGGGTTTAGAGTAGGTTTCACAAAATAAAGTATAAAACATAATGGTATAGAAAAGAGTCTTGACATTTATAAGAATTTTCAAATAGAGGGGGTTCTTAGAAGGTTTTCTCTCTATTTTTCTGTCATTTTGTCCAAAGCCTCTTTCATCCCATCATGGTCAGGGATGTTTTGTTTCCAAATCGTTATGTTCTAGTCTTAGAACAATCATAACCGTTACGATGGGATAAGGATTCTTTATTTTGATATTTATTTTGTTTGAAATTGTATAAAAATCTGGAGATATCATATAATAATTGTGATTATAAAAATTTTGAGATATTTAGAGATGGAGAATTTTGTGTTCATATGATGTGTCAAAATAAAAATAAGGCCATAATATCAATCCACTAAATCATTCATCTAATTTGATGGTTCATCATATTCATCGTAGCATTAGCGACTTAAATGGAGAGGGAGAGGGAGAGGGAGAGGGAGAGAGAGAGAGATCTACATAATTTGAGAGTAAAACATGTTATTGCAAAGATTAAATTCTCAATTCTTGAACAAAAAATATAAGAGGGCAATTAAAATAAAGATGATTCAAATGGAAGATGACAAAACTAGATCTGAAGATGATCAAGACGTATTGGAAACTATCCCATAATTCTCCAAACAAAAAACCAACCATATCTGTCAGTTTACTAGCATCACCAACACAATTTTCTATCCAAAATCTTGACAATGACTATTTAAACACATGTCAAGAAATTGATCTCAATAACATGTAACTCAATATTTTTCACAAAATGATAAACTACAAGAGCAGAGATTCCTCTGCAAAAGCAAAAGATTCCAAAGATTCTCCATTAACAAAAGCCAAATAGCCCATGTGATAACCAGACAGCCTATGTGATCTTCTCTCAAACTTCATCTCTTCAGATTGCATCATATAGCATGTGACCAGATAGCACATGTGATCTTATCTCAAATATTATCTCATCAGATTTCAAGCAATTTCAAATTCTACTTCAACCCTCTATATAAGCAGCAACTCTGAATGAAAGAGGCATCGAAAAAATTCTACTACTTCAACCCTCTGTATAAGCAGCAACTCTGAATGAAAGAGGCATCGAAAAAATTCTAGATAATATTATATTTTCTTTTGTGAGCTGAGTGTGGAGTGTTTGTACATACTTTGCTTAGACGAGTGTAACCCTTTGTAAGTATTTCTAATGTTGTACTTTTGTCTTATTTTAATAATACGAGTGTGTTTGCATTATCTTTCATGCATGGTCTCACTAAATTTTATTGTTTATATAGATTAAGGTATTATAAAATAAAAAAAAAATTATTAAAAGAATTAGAAACACTTTTTTCTTAATTTCGTTTTATGCCAAATGAACACTGAGATAAACATCAAAGAATTCAATATCAAATTTACAAGTATTAAGAATTATTAGACGGGATGTGTATCATATGCACTTTATAATTAAAAAAAAATTATAAAATTTTATACTTTCTGAGTCATAACTAAAAAATAAATAAAATGTCATAACTAAACACAATATGAGATATAACTAAAGATCTCACGTGCTATGATTAAAATAATATTATAACTAAATTTTTTTTTAATTATAACTAAATAAGAAAATGACATAATTCAGAAGCATACAACACACCCTTTTCAAGAGAGAGAAAATTTCCCTTACTTCCATTTAATCTAATCAATCACTAAGATTACATATTGAGTCTCTATTTGGTATTAGAGCATCAGCTAAAAAGTAATGTATGCAAGGTTGATCTTTATTTTGACGTCTTGTGTGACTTTGTTAATGTGCATTCAACGTGACTGAGACAACATCTTACGAAATCAATTCAGTGACGCCCATTTGATAAAACTAGATTTGAGACTTTTTTTTCTTTCTTTTTTTTTAAAAAATAAAACCGCCAAAAAACTTGCTTTTTAAGTCTTGCCAGATGGGTATATGTGGAGGGAATCATGGGTTTCAGAATTTTGGCACTAGAGAACCATCAGTTTTATGACACCTTTGGTGGACAAATGAATCACATTGAGAATGGGATTGCTCTTCATGTTAATTGGGTGTTGTCATTCTTGCAATTGTTCAACATAATAATCACACAACTAATCACCAGAAATACCACATAACATATAGTGTCTTTTACATTAATTTGATATGAACTGAACAATATCTATCAGCTGCCAATGCTAAACTTTTACTAAACTGCAGCCTAATAATATCATTTTCCTGTGACCATGATTCAATTCCAGTGGTCGAAAAACCACATGGTGTACGTAATTGCCCAAGAAAGTGAAACAACTGGAATCTAATATACTATCAACAACACAATGTTATGTATGAAAAACAATGCAAATTGCAAATCATTTGATCAATCAGGTGATTGTAATGTTAGATGGTCCACAAGCTTTGGCTATCGTGTTCGTTTTTAGGCATTTATTTCAAAATTATAGTGAAAAAAGAACCACGAGTATCATCATCAATAAACCCCCCATGCATTTTGAAATATGTAATTGATCCGAAACAATTGCAGAAACAACAGAAATTGTACCTACAGAATGCATAAACTTAGCAGGGTAATTGATAAATTGAACACATGGAAAGTTGGAGACACATTTACAACAAGTCATGATAATAATTCAAAACAAAAAAACAAAAAAACGATGAGCAACTTTACACGCTTTCATAGTCATTGGAGCAAATCACCAAACACTGTTTGTTGAGCAAGTTTCTCACCTTTTAACAGAAAGAAAACCTATCTACAACCTCCCTTACTGTTGATGGAAAAGGCATCCACTGAATCAAAAGCATAGCAATAGATGTTCACAACAGCTTGTGCTGGTCTCAATGCTCAGCTTGATCAGTTTTGAGCTGCTACCTCCTGCTTCCTCACTGTTTCTGGATTTCCACATTCGAGGGAAAGGAGAAGGACTTGTATTTCTTTCCTTTTTCCGAAACTAAATGTTTTCTGAATATTTAAAAACAGTACAGATATAGAAATAAGGAAATATCAAACATGTTATCAGAAAACTAAGAATTTTTATTCTTTTTTAAAATGTAAAAGAAAAAATAGCATAGTATACGCAATACAATTAACCAGCTTGTACGAACATAAATAATAATGGAAGTGCATATGATTGTATCCTATATACAGAAAATTGCCAAACCCCAAGACCTATCCTCACCACCGCTCCTGCACTCTAAAAATCTCTCTGATATTGAGATGCCATGAAAATATGCAAAATTTAATCTGAATGATGTGTGCACAAGTCTACCAAATAATGTGATTCGTGTTTCATCAAGATACACCAAAATTCTGCAAACTTGACACCCATCTATTTGTACAGGTTTACTTCCATGGAAAACCATACAATGCAATTTAAATAGATTAAAACCAGTTATTCTCTACTGTATACTGCATTTAGTGCAATTTACAAGTTCATGACCATCTAAAAGGAAGCCATCAAATGGATGGTCAACCCTTCAATTTTGTCCACAACCAAGGTTTTAACATGGCTAATATCATTTTAAAAGGCTTAAAAAAAAGTAAACAAGAAATATAATACAGTATTAGAATTTCAATATAGGGTTTTGTCATCATTACAGTTAATCATTCCTTTTTCTTTTGTTTTCTTTCTTCTTTTTTCTTTTTTAATAAAAATTTTGAGAAAATGAGATGGAGAGATTGTGGATTCAGTTCCCCTAGTAGCAAAAGAGAAGTAGTGAAACTAAAACAAAGCCAAAGGCCACCAGAACCTATGCAGGCAAAATAAAGCAGCTACAAATAAGGCTTTATTGAATCAACTAACTAAAAAGCAGAAGAACAAAGGCAGGAGATAACCTTACTGTAGTTGCGTGCTTATAGTGTTAGCTAGACTTTTAATGGACCAGGTCAGCATGGTTCGAATCTGATCCAACTAAGAAACCTGTCATAGCTAATCCAATCGGAATCCAGTAGATTCATCAAGAATCAATCTGAAGCCCACATATTTCAGATATCTGATCCAAAAATCCGACCCGATCTGTTTTTTTTTGAAATGCCAAAAGATCATATTATCCTTAGGGAAGTTCTTGTTTTCTCTTCTTGATATATGATTATAAGTCAAAAAATCTTTGACTTTAACCGCCACATATATTTATATAACAAGACATTCATGTTAAAAGCTGTTTTTTTTTTTTCTTTCTTGGACACTGTCAATAAATTATAACAAGCTTTCCCTTTGATTTCGATCCTAAATTAGTACAAATCTCAATCAATTTACCCCTTATCTCCTTCTTAAACCCTATACCTTATAAGATCAATATTCACAACCTTGCTCTACAATTTCATCTAACATTACATTGAATCTTAACAGAATTGAGTCCAATATCACACAAGCCACCTGTTAAACCTTGAGAAATTTTCTTTGAATTAATCTTGTGAAGGTTGCAACAAGAAGGTAATTCTATGACAAATCACCATGGTCAATTTTACAAAGTTGATAGTCCTAATAGTTGATTCTTAACAATGCTTCAGGTATCGGGACACCAACACCTGCTTTTGACACTAGTAATCAAAACAATGACATTCTGTGAAAAGTAAACACCTAAAACACAAAACTCTAAATGGTTCAAGTGAGTCATAATTTTATAGCTCCCAAATTTGTTAAGGGCCCTTAACAAGTGTACAACTTTATCAAAGTATACATATGTACAAGCAAAAAGTAGAAATGTAGAAGTACACAGACAAAATAGATCTCTCCTTTTATGTTTTTTTCCTTTTTTCTTCTCCAATGGTGGCTACAGAAATTGCAATTTTTACAGCGAAGTCACATAGTGACCAATATGCATGTTATGGCTCCACAATTTGTAAACTCTACTAAGCTATTTTAAAAATACAATTACATGGTTTACAACTTATTCTATGCATATTGTCTTAAATAATATTCTTCATATAAATAATCAACCTTAAACCTATTCCAATTAATATGTAAAAATAAATTTGTTATTTAACTTCCTTCTTTTCCACACAATTCCTATTGTGCATAACTTGAATATTTATAGATCATAAAAGTCATGTCCCATTGTAAAATTCATATTTTCTCTTGCTAAACTCCAACCAAATCCCAGAAAATTGAAGAATGGTAAATTTGTCATTGACAAGTTTTATATGATTTTTTTTCCCAAAGTAAAACTTTTTACATTGACATACACAAATTTTATGCAAATTACTTTTTCTACTCCTACACTCATAACATCGACAATAAACAGAGCATTTATGCACATAAGTTTTCCTACTCCTACACTCATAACATGCACAATCACCCAAATGGTGTAGCATAATACGGCTTGAGACTTGAGAGGTACCAAGATAGATAGCTTATGCACAAATGAACTAGACATGCATAAGAAAGCTTGGGGATTGACATACCCAGTGAATCACCAAACTCACAATCCAACCACCACGCAATGAACAATGGAAGACCTATTTGGAACCACGAGAATCACATCCGACCACAAAATCGACCCACTTAAACCCCCGCAACTGTCCTTCTGAACCTCAATCTCCGCACACATAATCTCCATCTCTTTACCACTCCCCTTCCCTTCCCAAACCACACACAACTTCCCTCCCACATTTGCCATCGTCGCACCACATAAAAACTTAGGCAAACCCTTGTCTACTCCTTTCAACTCTTTCCACTCATCCTCATCAATATCATAGCCCCTAATCCTCCCCAAATAATCATAACAATACAACACCCCATCCACCACCGCAGCCCGTCCCCTCCACCCCATATCGAGCCGTCTGGACACATCACCCCACTCCCCCGCCACCACATCATAAACCACCCCACCCCGATCCGCCATTGCATATATTTTATCATGTATGACAGCACTAGCATGCATCCACTTGTCTTTAACATCAATTGGGCTGGGCACAGCCGCCCACGACCCAGAAACCGGATCGAAAACCTCTGCCCAATTCATTGATCGTGCCCAATTATCCACGAGACACCCACCCATGACATATATCTTCCCATTCACAGCCCCGGCGGCAGCAAATTCCCTGCAAACCCTCATTTTGGGGCCAATTTCCCATTTGTTGAAGCGGCAATCGAAAACCCAGATGTTATTGGATGGAATATCGTTGATAGCTCCACCGATAACATAGATTTTGGAGCCTAAGACGGCGAAGGAAGAGCCGATTGGGTGAGAGGGAATAGGAGGAAGAGGAGAGAGAATTTTTGTAGTAGTAGTAGTAGGGTTATTAGGGTTAGGACGGAGTAGGTAGTACCAGGAGAAGGAGGAGTTGATGCGGAGGCTGAGGTAGAGGATGTGTTGGGTGGAGTTGAGAAGTGATCGGGTGGTGAAGAGGAGAGGGGATTTGATGGTGGAGAGCCATGATTTGGAGACGAGAGAGAGGGAGTGGTGGTGGGAGAGTGGGACTCTGGCGATGCATTGGACTGCGATGTCGTCTGGGAGTTTAGGGAGTAGGAGGGGCGGCGGTGGTGCCTCGGTGGTGGTGGTGGTGGTGGTGGAGTTTTCGTCGGCCATTGGGTTGGGGTTCAGACGGTGAGGTCGCCGGATCGGAGAATACAGAGATGAATTTGTATTGTAGGTGTCCAAACAGTTTGGTAGTCGCAACACGTGACTTGTTACAATTATTTAAAAAAAAAATTACTCATAAATTCCATTTAGAGAAATGTCAGTTCATTTAATTTTATATATTTTTTTATAAACCAAACAATCTTTTTTATTTGTAATATGTATTATTGATTTGATTTAGTAATATTTGTGTTTACTTATTTGTACCTTTTTATGATTATGTTTTTCATTTTTTTTGGGGATTGAGTGTATGTGGATAATGTATGATTTTAACATTTACATTTTTTTTTAGGAATTTCATGGAGTGATTGTGAGGATTATTAATGATACCTACTTGATGTTACATTATTGATGTTAAATCATTTGCGTTTTTCTAGGGAGGTGTCTGGGTTGACGTTCACATTTACCTATCTAACATCAATCCATCGCCAGATTGTCATATCATTAAGCCTCCCACTAATAACCTATAACATTAGCACCAAACACCAACCACATAACATAACATCGATACAGTCCGACAATCTCCGACAATTAACAGCCACTAACCCCTACTACCTCTCAACCCTACCAATACTTTCAGGCATACATCCTTCCACTAGCCACCAACATTACAAAATACACACCCAATCATACAAACATTAGCTACATTACCATGCGTCTGTTACATTACATACATGCACAATATCGCATTTGCAATCACTAGTAACTCCCAAACCCGTGAAAATATTACAACATTAACCAACAAAACCATCTGTCTGTCACATTACAAACATGCACAACATCACATTTGCAATCAATGATAAACCCTAAACCTGTAACGTGAACAAGATCACCTAAAACTCCACATGACGCACCAATTAAACAAAAACTCATTTCGAGTATCGACCTTAATGTCGTATTGTTCCACAAACAACCAAACTAACATTAAAGACACCCATACTTGTTGTCATCGCACTAACACACGATCAACGATGCCATCGATGAATTAATTTTAAATTGCTAGCGTTACATCCTCAATGTTAATCGCACTAGATGTCCCAATGTCCACGCCACTTCGCCTCTATAAATTTGATAGAAGGGGTGTTTCCATGATTTTCTATGGTTTTTTTGGGGGTTTTGTAATGTCATTTGGAGAATAACGAATTCTGGGTGTAACGTTTCCAAATCCATTGTTCAACTCACACAAACTGAGGATCAACACTGCAATATCGTCAAGGAAACGTTGACGTTCCCATTTTTGAGCTTTCATTTTGTTCGCAATGGAGGGAAAATGAAAAAAAAATGCTATAGTATACTTTTGGGCTTTTTGGTAACTACAACATCACCTAAACACCAAATGTACCTCTCCAAACAGCCAACCCATGCGTTGCATTCATGGGCTCAAGTGTAATTAACATTGACATGGGACCAATCAGTCTACAAAATAAATTGCAGGACTAAATGGTTCATACTATTTAAACTTGGAATTTATTGGTGTTTTTCCCAAAAATAAAATTATTAATTGCAATCTTTTTTTAATTATTAATTAAAATAAATTTTTGATATGATTAAAAATTATTAATTGACTTGTTAATTTATCAACAAAAATAGTCACTAGTGTAGACACTCCATTTTTGACCGTCCTTAAGATTTGGGTGCCACCGATAGATCGCTCAATGATGAAAGTTAAGCTATGCAAAAGTTCGATTTCTTCGGCAAGAAGAGCTTCAAATCCTAACCTTACACCCCATTTTTGGACCAAAAATTTTTTTTGACCAAAACATTTTAGACCTTAAAACCCTCTCTTTCAAAATATTTTTGAAAATGTTTCTACGATGTTCCGAGGCTCGTATTTCATTAAATGTTGCACTTTTCGGTAAACCGAGAAAGGACAAAGTGGAAATAAATGAAAGAGAGGTGAACTCTTTGAAAAATCTTTCAAAACACCTTATTTAGAGGTTTGGAGTTGAAGAAAATAGGAGGGGAGGGAAGAAAACTAGTTGAGGAGAAGTTAGGCATCAATCCGGTTAGGACCAAAACTGAGCAGTCTTCACTAAAATAGAAATATCTTTTTTCTCACTTGGAATTTTGATGTGAGGCTTCCACCATTGGAAAGTAGACTTTTGGGGCTTCAATTTAGACTCAAGAATGACCTGAAATGGAGTCCGGACGAGAGAGATATGCCTGTTTGAAGTCGGGGCCAAAAACCTGTTTTTTGCTTGCCGGCCACTAGTGTAAAAAAGTTCAGATTTTGCAAATATTTTGTGCCAGCTATCTCCCAAAAGCTCCAACTATTTATTTTTTTGATATTTCGACTGAGGTTCTTATTTTCCTATATATAGAGGACCTCTTCTATTGTTTTAAAGGTGGGGGAAACATTTTATAAGGTTAGAAATTTTGGAACAAATTCTCTCTCTCTCTCTTGAACTTTTGTGCATATAAGTGTAGATACACTTCAAGTTTGCATACACTTCCTTGACCAAAGTTGCTTCTCTTTGGGTTGAGGTTACTTGAGACCCTCTTTAAGCTTCGGAAGGTGGTTGTGGCTTGCTTTGTTGCCTAATTTGTGCCTTGGCTTCAAGAGATATAACTCTTGCTTTGTTAGCTTGTTTTACATACTTGCTTTGCCATCTTCTTCTATTGTTTTTGGGCTGTTTTGGAGTTGGTTTTGAACTGTAAAAAACTCTATTTTTATGGCCTAAAGGTGGTGGTTTGAGGCCATTTTCAGTTAGGGGGTGGTTCACCATTTTTACTTCTTTGTTTGTAAAGCTTTTGTACCTTTGTTCACCACTTTCAAACCAACTTTTTTGGCCCTTTTAACGACTAAACTTCAGAGGTTTTTCAGTAGCAAAAAACTCATTTTGAAGTCCAAATTTGGAGGGGTTAGCCTCCTCTTCTTGTGTCTTGTTTGAATGTTTAGTTAGCTTTATAAGTTAGTATGTTTTTCTAGCTTAACTTAGCTCAAGTCCAACATGTTTTAGCCTCTGAAATAGCCTGTTTTAGCTTTGTTTTGGGCTGTTTAGTTCATTTGAGTCTTGTTTTGCATAGTTGTAGTGCAATAGTCCTCACAAGTTTGTGTTTTAGGGTCTTAGACACCTCTTGTTTGAGTTGATAACATCTTTTGGTGTTGTTTTTTCACTCCATTTTAGCACTATAAACTCTGCAACCTCCCTCTTTGCTTCACTTTTTCATTTTCTTTTGAGGGTTGTTTCAAGCTTGGGATCCTTTAAGTTTGAGATCCTTTAAGCTTGAGATTGAGGTCATGCTTAATGGTTTAATCCTCTTTAAGGGTTCATTATCAATGGCATGATCTCTCTCTTGCCTTATATTATCCCTTGGTTGACGCTTCTTTCATCTTAGAGAACACTCACCAATGGACAAATTGATTAAAGAATGATTTGGTAACTAAAATGTATAAACAAAATTGGCAAGTAAAAATGGCAAAATAAGTATTCTATTGTGTTGCATTGCATGTGTTCAAATCGGACGTTAATTTGAACACAAGGAAAATGGGGCATTTCATACTCAAAAGTGATGAAATGTGCCACTTTTCTAAGTCTCCATTGCCCTTGATCATGCATGATAGGGTGATGGCATTTGAGTCTTGTTTCGTATTCATTGAACTTGTACAAATTGGTCTCTTAGCCATCATGCATGGAAATTGCTTGATTGATGGTTTGAGGGCCAAATGTATCACTCCTTTAAGCATGTGTTGATGATAAGGGGTGATACATGGTACAAACAACCTGTTAGACCACCCCTTTCTTGCTCTGTTTTGTCCTCTGTTGCAGTAAGAAAAAACTTGGCTTTAGTGGTCGGCAAACCTTGGCCACCTCCGATGGCCGACAACCCCTTAGTGTTGGTCAGCAAACCCTCATTTGTGGCTGGCCGGCCGGCCACCAGTGAAAATTTCAGTATTGTGCTTTTGAAGCAAAGCAGTGTTGATCTGGAAGAGGAAAACAATGTAAGTATTGTGCAACAGAGGCAATTAGTGGCAGACAGTGGATGTTCTTCGGGTGAAAAAACCGAGCATGTATGCATTCCTCGTTTCCCGAGGCCATTTAGTTAACTTGCTTAGTTAATTAGTTGTAGCTAATTCCTGCAAATGTTGTAACTATTTAAGTAGATTAGTTGATTAATTCATGTAATTAATTAGCTTAGTTTCGTTGTAATTAATTAGCTTAGAATAGTTAGCTAATTCATTTCAAGTGTTGTAATAATTAGTTAAGTAGTGCAGCTTAGCTAGTTTCATTCGGACCCTCCTTCGTGATGGCGTAATGTTGTAATAAGTGTGTGTGCGTGCATGTAAGTCTTCCAACCCCACGTCATTCTCCCTTTTACTTAAACCGCTTTTGATGGTTAGTTTAGGAGCATCATGTTTCAATTAGCATACATTATGCTTGTATACATTCATCTTGTCTTGCATGCACCAAGGCTCGGCGCATCATTCAAATCGCATTATCATTTCAATAATTCTTTGAAAACGGTTTAATCGCATTTTGTTTAAATTGCTTCGTATGCCATATTAGTAGCCGAGCCTATTAATTACATTAGGCATCTTGTAGAGTTAGGAATCATGCATATTTTTCTAACTCATATCTTTTTGGCTTGGAGTACTAGGTGAGTTTTGTGCTTTAGCATACTCGTATGAATGTGAATGTTGCTATGATTAGCATGCTTGCCATGAAACTAAATGCTTACTTGATAAACTGCATGAATGCCTATGGATGAAGGCTTGTTGTTTGAATTGGAACGATTCAATGAATGTAAGTTTTAAGCCCACTTTATTGAGTGGCAAATCATGTTTTACGCCCACTATGTTTGGTGGCAAATCCGCAAACTTTAAGCCTATTTGAGGTGGCAAATTCAAACCATTTTCGCAAACAAACATGTGTTGAATTGTTCCAAATTAAGTAAACTAATCTATACTTGATTGTGCGCATCACATAGTAAAGCTAGTTTAATAACCGGAATAAGAGCACATCATGTTTATAAAAAATCATATCATGATTAGTAGAGGGCGATCTTTGATCGGGCAAGCGGGGGTGCTCAATTCATGACATTTCCCTCTCGTACCTTAGTTCCCGAGCCGAGACAACTTTGGTGATGACGGACATATGGCCTTTGGCACGAGTCATGGGTTTCCTAAATTTTTCAAAAAAGAAAATATTTAGGTGGCGATTCTGTATCTGGCAAAACAGTCCAATTTTGGCACTTTTTGATTCAAAATTAATTTTCCAAAACGATTTGTCAGATTTGAATTCTTTGGTGTTTATCAATTTCACATTACACTTGTGAGATTAGATTCAGAATCGCGGGAGTCCGAACTGTAATGCTTATTTTCGAACTTCCAAAAGGGGGGGCAAAAAAGCTAAGCTACAATTAGTTATGAAATTAAAAATTTTAAAAGATGAGATGTAATTTATAAAACCACCACACTATCACCATCACGACCACTATATTATCATCGTTGTTTTGCTGCCATCGCCGCCCCAACACCTCTACATCTACCTTGTTGTTGCCACTACTACCATCATTATTGCAATTATTAATACATTAGTTTCAAAAATGCAACCAAACATAAGATGACATTTTCCTTGAAAAACATTGTTTTGAAATTTTTTTTTGTAGCAAATATTTTTCATTAAAACAATATTTTCCGAATGAGAGGATAAATGTAACAAGCAACAGAAGTCTCTCTCTCTCTTTTTAACCACTTCACCCCAAGTCTCACTGCTGGTCGACCACCGCCAATGGCCGTGGCGGTCAGTTGGCTTTTTGTTTTCTCTAACGTTGTATTTGATTAAGGGATTTGAAAAGGAATTTGAAAAAGGGAAACAAAAAATGTATGTGAAATGTGAATAAAATATATTTATATTTTATCTAATTTCACACACTTTTTCCTTTTCTTTTTTCAAATGCCTTCCCAAATCTCCCAACCAAACACAACGTAAGTGTTGTGTGTTTTTCTTTCAAATAAACTTAGATTTTCCACAAGTTTCCCGACTCTATTCCAATAAGATCTGGTCTTTATAGATTTGCCTACGGTGTTCTTTGGTGTTGAGTGCTTGCTTTTGGGCATTTTCTTGGGTTATTTCGATTTGGGGAGTTCCATGGCTGTTCATTATAGTAGCGGTTTATTTTTTTGACGGCTTCAGTTCTATAATTTCGAGCAGTTTCAGAGCCTACTGGGTTATCATTTTTAGTGGTTCATTTATAGGCTTTTTCCTTGGGAGTGTTCCTTGGTGTATTTCAGGCATTTTTCAACTTAGGTGTTTCGATTGATCGGTCTAGTAGCAGCATTGAAGGCCATTTTCAGCAAAAGATGGGTCTTAGCAGGTTGGTACAAGAGGGGGTGTTTTGATCTAATAACAGTAATAGAAGGAAGGGAAAAGTGGTACGTCTTTGTGGTATGGTGTGGTGTGGTGTGGGTCACCCATTTTGGCTATTTAAAGATGGGCAATGATAGGGAGATGATTAGCAACAGCTGACGGAAGAAGATGGAACAGTTTGGTGCAAACAAAGGAAGATGACCGGTCATTGGTTTGATGGGAGCCAGAGGGACATAGATGAAGTCTCAAAAGTGGAAAAGGGTGCGTGTGGTATTCTTGCAATGGATGTATGTGGCATAGCTCGGGATGTTTTGGGGAGTGTTTTCCGGGAATAATAGTGTTTTGGCGTGGGAAGGAGTTTAGTGCGGTGGGTCAATTTGTTTTGGGAGATTCAACTGGTTTTTTTTTTTTATGTTTTTCGAGTTAAGATCTACTTAATTATTTCTACTTTATTTTATTTTATTTTATTTTCACTTTGTTGTTGTTTTTTGTTTTTTCAAATTAAAAAAACTCGTGAGGCCGATGGATTAGTTGTAAGGTTGTGAACAACAGTAGTAAGGGAGTTTACACTCTCTAAATTTCTCTCAATGCATTTCTTTTCCTTGTACCTCTAATTTTATGTTTTTAATGAACTTTTTACTTTGCATATCAAAAAATAAAAATAAAACATATTTTCTATCTAAGCAAATAACGCATATTGACTTGAGAGCATTTAGACTTGGTCAGTTGATTCTGGAATCGATTTTGGTTATCCAAACCATTCACTTTTTTTGAGTCATTAAGTTAAATATTCATACAAAAAATTGAGATGAATGGATATTAATAGATATATATTTTAATCAAATTTGTTTTTTTTAAAAATAGACGATAAATATAATTTCAAGAATAACCATCTATTTTTTATAATACAGTTTTGATTCAAACATATATTTATTGATATCCAATTGTAACACTTTGTACTTCTTGAACTAGCACTACAGGAAATGATAGTTTTGGCGACCAAAATAATGGTCACCAAGAGTCCCATTTTTGGTCGCCGAATCTAATTAGCGACTAAATTTTTTTGCCACCAAGTTAGTCGCCTATACCCCTGTCGGCGATAGTATTGGTGACTAAACCATTTTTGGTTGCCGAAAGTTAAACATTTGGCTACTAAACTTTGGTTAGTCGGGAAAGGTGATCTTTTGGTGACTAAATTATTGGTTGCCGAAATTGAACTTTTGGCTACTAAACTTTGGTTAATCGGCAAAAGTATCATTTGGCGACTAATATTTTAGTCGCCGAAAGTTCTCACATAAAACTAAATTAAACTATTAGAGACTAAAATTTTAGTCGCCAATAGAATACGTACATTTAGCGACCAAACACTTTAGTCGCCAAAGGATGCTATGTTTTTAGTGACTAAAATATTTAGTCGGCAATTAAACTTCCCTCATTCTAATTTGTTTTAGTTAGTATGTCTTTGGTCGCAAAAAGCCATTTGGTTATTTTTTGCTACTAAATTTTTGGTCACCAAAACATTTACTTACATTTTTTGCTACGAACATATTTAGTCACCAAATACTATATTAATTTTTTTTTTTAAATTTCTGAACCACCTGTATCCATTATTAGTGCAACCTGTACCCTGTATAAACAATATAATCCATCAATACTGAATATATTATCAACCATTCAACAACGTGCACACATTTTACGTCCAACCATCCAAAAAATTTATATTCAACGTCCAATTCTAAATGTAATACAAATTCCATCAATACCAAGCATAATCCAACCCCCAATAATTTAAGTCCATACATAATAGAGGATTAACCAAATTTAATATCCAAAAGGAAATCTATACCACACCAAAAATTTATTCTGTACCGCCCCAAAAACTAATTTGTACCACATCCAATGCTAATTTCTATCAGGCCAAATTTTAGATATTTACCACGCAAAAAAACTAATTTGTATGAACCACTATATATACAGACACAGATATAAAAATAATGCCCTTCCGTAGTTGTCAAAAAAAATCATATCCACATTTGTACGTCAAAAACCATCTGCAAAAAAAAATAAAATAAAATAAAATAATAATAATAATAATAATCATTAGTATTGACTAAATATTGGCCAATTTAAAATTATAAAAAAAAAAACATATAAAACTCGAAATTAAGTAATCTTTTCAAATTAATCATTAGTTTTGCATACTCGAATATATATGAAATAAAATTTTTGATGTTCAATCTGAGTACATACAACATATGAATCTAGTTGCTCTATATATCCCAAGTTTATACTTTTGAGGTGGGTGACTAAACTAAAACTAATTTTGAAGTGTAAGGATTAAACTGTTCAATTTAAAACTATAAGGATCAAAATAAAATTTGAGTCAAATTACAAAAATGAAAGACATAATTAACTCCAAAAAGGATGTTTATAAGAGAGGTAAATATTTCATACTGGCTCCCTTGCAAAGGCCATTATCAGTTCTTTCAAAGGCTGCTTTGTCATTAGTCTCAATGTCGATGTGAGAGCACCCGATGCAGCCAAACCAGCTTGGAATGACTGCCAAAATTCATTACAAAAAATATTCATGTAGTAAGCAAATTTATTCTAAGAATTGAAAGAAAAAAATAAAAAGAAAAAGAAAAAGCTGAGTAGTTATACTTTTACATTTGTGTGATTTCGCCAAAATCTCACTTTGGATGTTTCATTTTTAATTGTGACGATTAATCACTTACATTTGAAATCAGGTTGTAATGACACCCTTCCATCCAGAGACGAAGGGAAGAAGGGATTAGGTGGGGCACGTGCCCCTCCTCAGATTTTTATAATTACACTAGTACCTATATATTTGCAAAATATTTTTGTTTTAACCCTTAAAAATTATAATTGTGCCCACCTTAGTTTATATAAGATCCTTTAAAAATTAATATTTAAAGGCCCTTCCTAATTGAAAAACATTAAGACTTACAATTTAAGTCTCACAATGACATGTCAAGTAATGTATTAACTTTTGATTTATTACAATCACATAACAACTCTAAATTAAAAAATGACTCTTTCTCTTTTCTCTGTTCTTTGTTTTTTTCTTCTTATTTTTTCTTGTTGGGAAAATTAAACATGTGGTCCTTATAGATTGTTCACTCCAATTTGATTCTATAGTCTCAATTACATCAATTTTATCTTATATTTTTTCATATTATGTCAATTTCATACAATTAGTAATGCCCATTAATAAATTAGCACAAATTAAGAATAAAAAAAAATGATCTATTCACTCTCAAAGAGATTGAGGGATTAACATAGAATTTAAAATATGTAAACCATGTGTGTAATTTGCCTGCTAATAATGTTACAATAATCATACTTTTACACCGCATTTGAAGTACCATGTGAATTGTCACCACTAGATTGGTTGAATAAGTTTCATCACTTATACTTGTTCACAATGTAGTGTTAAAAACATAATGATAAACTTGAAAGAAATAATACACTTTGAAAGGCTAACTTATCATATGATCTATTGGATAATAAGTCTACCTATTAAGATCTACACGTAAGTCTTCCTAAATATAATTAACTTGAAAGAAATAATACACTTTGAAAGGCTTACTTGGATGAACGGAGGGCACATGAAGGATAGGTCTCCAACCATCCCTCCTTGAACATGGCCATCTGCAACTCCCAAAGTAGCTACAATGATGCATATACCAGTATAATTTCCAATGTCTCCTTTCCCTGATGTTGCTGAACCTAACTGTCAAGGAAACCAGATGATGAAATTTAAGAGAGGGTTGGGTTTTGGTGAGTTAGATGATAAAAATCGAGCAGTTGATTGACTTGTGTGTTAAAATTTGTCAAACCAACCCAACCTCCCTGTATGAAGATTAAAATTATGTTGGGCAAACTTCACTTTATTCCTTTATAGTTTGGCTCATGTGTGGATTGCCCCCATATTATTTGGAAATAAGCACATAACCCTCACGTAGTTTGTGAACTCAAAAGCACGCTAACTTCTATTATCAGAATATGTAAATTGACCTTTATGCCTTTTTCTTCTTCCTCTTCTACTCTTTTGGTGTTACAATTATAATAAATGAAACTCTTTGCTCTAAAAACCAAAAAACCAGTGACATTTGATCAACAAACCTGAAGCCTAGTTGGAGATCCACTTGTATCAGCAGCAATAGTCATGACACTTGCTAGCAGACTTGGTAATGCAATGCTAAGAAAAGCAGCTACCAAGTAGATCCATGTAGATTAGATATATATATTGCAGCTACCAAGTAGAATGATATATATATACTTGAAAAGCAATGCAATGCTAAGAAAGAATCACAAGCTGAGACAAATCTTTAATTATGCCTGAAAAAGTAGAAACCCCATTTATTAAATTTTGAGCATCTCAAAGAATAAAAAAAGAGATAAACTAAATCGATGGCTTTGAAAAATATTACACAATTGAAATATATTTTTTCATTCATACATACATCTATTCTATATTATAAACGAAACAGCATATTCAGCGCTGATGAAGTTTGATCACGTTGGTGAATTCCTCTACTCCCATTCTGGAGCCAATTCTTACTCTATATATTCTATTATATAAACTATACAAACCATTTAGCGTGAACCTTTTTTTGAAACTTTGTCATGCTTTTCTCTTTATTTTATTTATTTATTTATTTATTCCTATTGCATCATCAAAATTCACTATAAAACAATCAAAACCCACAATCATTGAAATCACCCATTTGATTCTAGGGTCGAGATGATACAACAAAGTAGATCAGATTTTTGAAAAGCCTAAGAGACATTTTATCAAACAGTTTGAAGGCAAGAAAAAAAAAACAAACAAACAAACAAATGGAAAAGCCATAACAACTTCCCAAACCAACAATTCATGGGGGGCAACGAGCCATTAGATTTTAATGGGTTTTGATTTATATGTATGGATATATATATATATATATACACACACAAAGAAGACTAGAAGAGGAAGAAACAGAGAGTGGTAGAAGAAGATTTCAATGAAGAAACGATTTCAATGAAGAAAAACATTGATGGTTCTATCAATACCCAGAAAAATGGTGTAGTAGAAGACCTAATCACCAACCTAGATTTTGTGTCAAAATGCGAACTGCACAAAGAGACAGAGAGCTTGCAAACGGTGCTCCAGCTGTCGGCCACCGTGAGGAGGAGTGGCGGAGGCACGACTGGTGGAGCGACGGTGAGAGAGGGAGTGGAGAAGAGCAGCGGAGAGGCAGAGGCAGTATAATGGGAGAGGTAGAGAGAAACGCTGAAGAGAGAGAGATAGAGACGCTGGTCTGTTGTTGTCTGGGAACCAAATATATATATACTAGCGGTTGGGCACACGATTTGTGTGCAAATTAAATAAATAGGAATAAAAGAAAATAATAATGAAATTAATATTATAATGTGTACTTAGCTTAAGTGGTATGAGTTATCATACTTAAACCCATGGTCATGGGTTCAAGCCTTGCCCATCTCTATGTGTTCACTTTATAATAGTATAGATAGATAGATAGACAAGCTTCAGGACACCATATTATGTGTTCACTTTATAATAGTATAGATATTATGTGTTCACTTTATAATAGTATAGATATGAAAAATATTTGGGAGTACTAAAGAAGATCTTTTTAAAAAAATAAAAAACACTGCCACATGGCATGAGGAGAGTGAAGCAAACTTCAGAACACCATATTATGTGTTCACTTTATAATAGTATAGATATGAAAAATATTTGGGAGCTCTAAATTGGGAGTACTAAAGAAGATTTAGAGCATGGGTTTCACTGACTGATGTGATGTTTTGGTCTTAATTTTTTTTTTTTTTTTTTTGAATTTCCACCTCATTAGTGGTCTCCCAAATTAGTGGAATGTATCATTGTTGTATATATATATTACACTATTATCGACTAAATACTTTTAGTCGCTAATAATTTTTTTAATCCGTCTGAAACTTGAAATCTCCCTCCACATATTTTAGGCTTTTGGTGACTAAAATATTATTTTGTGGCTATAAATATACTTTTGGCAACCAAACTTTTGGTTGCCAAAGATAAAAACTATTTTTTTTCTTTTCATTCGGCTACTAAACAATTTTAGTAGCTAAAACTAACTATATAGCGACAAAAATATTCTTTTGTTGTTGAAAATATACTTTTGGCGACCAAATTTTTGGTCGCCAAAGATAAAAAATAATTTTTTTCTTTTCATTCGGCTACTAAAATTTCTTTTAGTCGCCAATTGTAATATTTTTAGCTACTAAAATTTTTTTAGTCGCCGATTGTAATATTTTTAGCTACTAAATTTTTTTTAGTCACCAATAATCAATATTCCCCGACTAAAAAAAATTAGTAGCTAAATATTTGACTTTTGCCGACTAATTTTATTTTTGGTAGCTAATTCCGTAACTTTTGGCAACTAAATTTTTTTTAGTCGCCAAAAATATATTTTCTTGTAGTGTAGTAGGGTTGTTCTGGACACTCTTATTATTCTACTTGGGAGCCTCTTTGGTTCATTTTGGAATATTGATTGACGTGGTGTCATAATAGTAAAGTAAGATTAAACTAAAAATATTGATTCGAATAATTGTCCTATGAGTAGTCTTCACTCTTTTATCTTTTTCTCTTTCCACACTTTGAATTTGGATAAGAGGTTAGAACCATTGGAAAGCTTGTTTTGGGGGCTTTGATTTGGACATAAGAATGACCTAAAACGGAGTCTGGACGAGGGAGTTATGCCTGTTTAAAATTTGGGTGCCTGTGTTGGAAACAAGTCCACACTACAAGAAATTTCATTTTTGGCGACTAAAATTTTAGTCGCCAAAAGCGTTGTTTTGGTTACCAATTATTTTTGGCGACTAATATATTTGGTCACCAATAGTTTTTCAAGGAAGACAATCGGTGACTAAAATTTTTTGGTAGCCAAAAGTGACCTATAAGCGACTAAAACTTTAGTCGCCATATATTTTTTTTAAATAATTATATATACATATATATATATATATTTACATTTATTTAGTAGCCAATTGAGTATATATGTTTGACGACTAAGAGATTTTCAGGATGAACCTAAATTCTAACCAAATAATTGCAAGGTGTCTCTAAGATGACTAAATTCTAAAACTACTTGAAGCTTATAAATCGAAAGCTTTTTGCAAACAAAAATATATCATAATCAAATTCAATGTTTATATCTAGATGTATGTACTAAAAGATATGTTTCCCAAAAGACTCATATATTTAGAGTTAATATGACAATATGCAAGAAATAGATTAGTTAGCTATTGGGTGGTTCAAATGTGATGCGATCAAATTTGACATATTTATAGTTTCTTACTTTGATAATTGCACATTGTCACTTTTGACATTATAGAAGCCAAACGAGCCATAATTGTATTCTTGAAAGCCTCTTTGCAACCTGGAGAAGAATCTGGCAGCCTACTTCTTGCAATCATTTGGGAGGGAAAAAAAAAGTAGCAATCATCTATCTATTTATTGAGGTTAAATGAGAATTTCTTAAAAATTATGAGAGACCAAGCAAGAATTCATGTATATAAAACAAATTTGTCCATGAGATGATTATATTTGTTAGACTTGAACATTTTCAAGTGTAAAATCACCATTATATATAACCTCTTTTTTTTATTCACTTAGTTGATGAGCAGAACTCATACATTACTTAATTATAATTAATTCTTTATTTTCTTTTTATATTATTTCCTAAATTAATTTACATGCAATTATTTCTAATTAAATTATTTCCATATGGGTTAATGGGGAACTGAATTTATGCAACACTAAGAGATTAGTTATTAAACAAAGCCCATTGCATGTCAATTCTGTTACCAAACCAACTTAAAAACCATAACTCATCATCACAAAGCATTTCTTAAAATCTTCACCTGTGGAGTTACTTCTGTTATTGGCATCTTTTTAGGTTCTCCATATGTCACACATGTACTAGAATTTATGAATGTCTTTACACGCTGCCATTGCCTCTAAAACTACCAAGATGTTTGATGTAATGTTGTGATAGTATCTGTATAAACACATGTGGGGATGTGATTTGGAAATACTATTTTGATCTACTGGGACGCTCGAGATCCTCAGCTAACAACCTTAAAAGGAATAAACACTCCGGTCGGGGGTGCTGGAATTAGCACTTCAACGGTTAAGTTAGTGTATGCTCTCTTAGTTACTTGTATCTTAAGTTAAGCGTAATAATTCTCACATACCTCTCCTTGGCTGATATTCTCCTATTTATATCTTCTTCTTTTGGGCCTTATGTTTTTTTGGGCCCACCTTTGGTCCATTGCACGTTTATTTATTCGGCCTTTGTTCGGTTGGTTAAAATGCCGATTATAATATTCGACTTTGCGGTTGACCAACTAGATCATAGCCGAATATATTCTCCTTTCTGGGCCGTCTTCATCCAGATCCTCGGCCTTATTGAACGCCGTTATTCGGCTCCCACAACACAATACTGTTAATTGATAAAATAGATAAGGGGAGATCAAATGCTCCAAATGATTTCATATGACAAAACAGCTTCAACTAACAAAATAATAACTAATTAACAGAGCTCAGCAAGCCAGTCCATATTCTTCAAAAAGTTCAGATTCAGATTCAGATCATAGAGAAAGTGGAAAGACTATCTATATCAATCTGGAGTACACTCGAGTTATGCTTCCACCATATGCAAAACCACAACTGCTACTGGTAGATAAATGTTACAATGGAAAGGCCAACAATGGACAAGGAAAGGCTTCATACTAATCAAAAGTTCTTGAGTAATTGACAAATATGTTTTTGAAGAAAAGATGTGAAATGGATTGAAATTAACAAATATTGGAAGCATGATACAGAGCATTGATTTGGATATGAGTAATAACCCTAGAGAATATATATATGCCCCATAGCAAGATGCTAGGAGCATTGGACATATGAACCAACAAACTAGCCCTCAAAAGCTCTCTATGATATTTTTACATACACTTGGTGAGCATAAATCAAAAAGATTAGTTTGTTTACCAACACAGGAAAACAGACCAACCCATTTTCACAAACACTGGCACATGAGGCATGAATGAATGACAGATCTCTCTTGCAACCCAGTGAAAGTTGCATAAATAGGATGCTAACTTAGATGACTTCAATTCTAAAAAAAAAAAAGAACATCCAAAATCTCAGAAACCCAAATTTCTTTCATTATTTTTGGGATATTTGAACAAGGGTCCCTCATAATGATAATTGTTTTTGCGAAACTGAGAGAGAGAGGAAGAGAGACAGAGATCATCCAATCCGAGAAAACAGAGTCATGTTTGGTGCGTTTACAGCCTTCCCTCTTCACGATGGCGATGGTGGAGGAGGAGGAGGTGCTCCGGTTGCCGGCAAACGCGAGGAGGAGCGGCAGTGAAAGAGGGAGGGGAGAGGAGCAGCGGAGAGAGAGAGAGAGAGTGAGAGGGAGAGGGATAGAGAGAGTTGTTGGTTTGTTAGTTTGGGTTGGAAACAAAATACATAAATAATTAATAACAATTCGCGACTAAATATTTTAGTCGCTAATTACTTTTTTAATCCCTCCAAAATTTGAAATCTCCCTCCAAATATTTTAGTTTTTTGGTGACTAAAATATTCTTTTGTCGCTGAAAATATATTTTTGGCGACCAAACTTTTGGTCACCAAAGATAAAAAAAAAAAAAAAAAATTCTTTTCATTTGGCTACTAAACAATTTTAGTAGCTAAAACTAACTATACGACGACTAAAATATTCTTTTGTTGTTGAATATACATGCTTTGGTCGCCAAAGATAAAAAATAATTTTTTTCTTTTCATTCGGCTACTAAACAATTTTAGTAGCTAAAACTAACTATACGACTACTACAATATTCTTTTGTCGCTAAAAATAAACTTTTGGCAACCAAACTTTTGATCGCCAAAGATATTTTTTTTTCTTTTCATTCGGCTACTAAACAATTTAGTAGCTAAAACTAGCTATACGGCTACTAAAATTTTTTTTAGTCACCAATTGTGATATTTTTAGTGACTAGTTTTTTTTTGTCACCAATAATCAATATTCCCCAACTAAAAAAAATTAGTAGCTAAATATTTGACTTTTTCCGACTAATATTATTTTTGGTAACCAATTCCACAACTTTTGGTGACTAAATATTTTTCAGTCGCCAAAAGTACATTTTGTTGTAGTGCCACTTGAGCGAACTTTTGACCGCTTAAGCGGTCTGCGCGAATTCTGGCACTTTAAAGTCACTTTTTGTCCCAAAATCTTTATTCTTTCTTCCTCTCCTCT